CTTCAAAACCTGAAATGATAAATTAGTGAAAAGCAAGTTATATCACTTTAACTAAAACACACTTATTTACAGTTCTATGTACAGTGTTTGCTCCTTCTGAAGATAGCATGTGTTTTATGAAGATGGATAATAAAAAGTAAAGTACTGGTGAGCGATATTTTAACAATACCACACACTTCTTTTGTAGAGATCTTCACTGGTAACAAAATACCTTAGGACACCCCCTCCTCTAGGCTCAGCACTGAAGTAAGGGGATCATAGCTTCCAGCTAGATAGTAGATATCATTGTTGTCAAATATTGAGCCATACCGGAAATTTTCATTTGATGTTTCTGCAATCCTCCTGGCTTTGTACTCTGTCCAAGATAGAAGTTCACACCTGTGGGATATGGTCTGTACATCGTTTTCATCCATGTGTGGTGACTGAAACAGTGCACCCTGAAATTAAAATCAGTAAAGCTCATCTTACTCTTGAGACCACACCACTCTAAGTAAAAACAATGTTACTGAAAGAAGAACCTGCCAAAACTAGCTCTGTTGAAGATTTATTGTTATGCTGAGCACTAATTCCTAAAATATTAAACGAGTACCATAGTATAAGTATGGTGATCAGAACGAGCATCCTAAAAATGGAACGTAGTATTAAAACTGTCATATTGTTAAAAAATACAAATAGGTATGGTGACCAGAACAATTGCCTTACATGGAATATACATATTAAAACTACCAAATACTTGCTTTTTAAATGCATATTCTACAACTAACTAAACAAACATGTATCTATATAATGGTTAAAAATCCTACATGAATGAAGTGCTTAATGAAATGAAAACCCGTGGACAAATTTCTATCTAATAAAATAGATCAATCTCGAACTTACTACTTCTGTATTCATTTGTAAATAACCGCTTAACATGAAATGAATATGGTATTAACTACCTCTGCTCTGGTTCTTAATTGCTACTAAACACAAGGTCAAGAAGTAGGTGACCACCTCTGCCCCGATTCTTACTTAAGTACTGAATATAAGGTCAATATGTAAATGACCACTTCTGCTTTTATTCTGAATTACTTTTTTGTTTGTTTTATATCTATCCACTAAGCATGACATACACAAAAGAATTACTGCCACTGATCTCAATTCTAACAACCTTTAAAATCAACATGGTACTGATTAAATCTGATTCTAACTGTTAACTAAACATTTAGTCAATCTGATTAATAGTTTTAAATTTACATTTCCTTGGAAGGTTTCGAATAGCTCAAAACGTTAAAATCAGCATGGTACTGATTAAATCTGATTCTAACTGTTAACTAAACATTTAGTCAATCTGATTAATAGTTTTAAATTTACATTTCCTTGGAAGGTTTCGAATAGCTCAAAACGTTAAAATCAAGATGGTACTGATTAAATCTGATTCTAACTGTTAACTAAACATTTAGTCAATCTGATTAATAGTTTTAAATTTACATTTCCTTGGAAGGTTTCGAATAGCTCAAAACGATCCCCCAAAAGTTAATGGGACTTGTTTGCCAGACTAAGGCAAGAAATATTTCGGGATGCTGAGTGTTACTTGTAGCTGACCAATCATAGTGAAGGTTTCAGAATGGGCATGGGTCTCTCTTTCAACCATACAAATCATTCTATGAAACTTAATGATCAAGGCTCACAAAATTGGAAATGTTTATTTATTGTGGAAAAAATTTGCGTTTTCTTCATTTAACACCCACAACAAGTATGGCAGCTGGCATACCTTTGGCTCGAGAAGCTGACTTCCTCTTTTTGTTTCTTCTGGGTGATAAAACCATTTCACCTTCACCACCATGTTGCCTCCCCACGACTGCCACATGGTCTCGATTCTTCCAATATATGGTAGATGGGGTCTTCCTGTGGACAGGAATACAGCACAGTCGCCAACCTAAGGGTGAGAAACCAATGGAGTTTGTGTGTGCATTATGTATATTAGGTGAAATTTCTAATTTTTAGATAAAAGTAGTTTCATATTAGAAGCTATCATACAGAAAAGTGCTCATTAAAAACCTAAGTAATTCAGCAATAACTAAATTACTTAGGTCTATGAAAACAATTGTTATGCAAACAGATCTTAAAATATAATAATAAATTGAGTGGCACTTCAAATAAAGTTGAATTTCCAGGAACACAAAGGGTTGAGTTTATTAATAACACATTTATCAGATCAGACAAGGTTATTGACCTTATATCGAAGACTGGTAAGTAAATGAACCATTGTCTACTTAGATACTTGTTTGTTTGTTTTGAATTTTGCACAAAGCTACACGAGGGCTATCTGCGCTAGCCATCCCTAATTTAGCAGCGTAAGACTAGAGGGAAGGCAGCTAGTCATCACCACCCACCGCCTACTCTTGGGCTACTCTTTTACCAACGAATAGTGGGAATGACCATCACATTATAACACCCCTACAGCTAAAAGGGCGAGCATGTTTGGTGGACCAGGGATTCGAACCCGTGACCTGCAGATTGCGTGTTGAGCACCCTAACCACCTGGCCATGCCGGGCCGCCGACTTAGATACAAATTTTTAATGGAGTTATTTTAATTTAGAGTTAGTGTTGAAACCTCTCAATTACTAGATAAAATGGTTTTACTAGAACTTAAAACATTTTATCTGATCATGAGACCTGCATTATTTTTAGTTTTGATTTTGTGGAACTAAATTACTAAGTCTGTTTTACAATAATTTCTTTCTTTAGAAATCATATGGACAGTAAATTTCAAATAGAGGACATGTTATACTTAAACACACAAATATATATATCTTACTTTCTGTTAATTCAAAAGAAAAATCATTAAACATTTGTTGCACAGTCACCATCCACCTCTACCAGTTAGGTATAGATTTCTTTTTGTTTTCTTATTTTCATACAAGGGTTAAATCTCACAGGATTTTATAAACAATCTTATTCAAAACTGCTTGAATACAATTTTGAACAATGACTTTTATACCCATGGTGTTATCAAAACATACCAAACAACTGCACACATTGCCTTCTGCATAATCAAACTGATCTACAGACAGAGTTTTAAAACACTGGGTTTGTAATATTTGTGAACATAGGATTCTGAACAGAATATGTGCGTGCTTTTAAAAAATGTGTTCAGGTGAAGACACACTTATATTTTAATATGCACTACAAGTAAAACAATTTCTTTGTGTTTCTCAGCAGAAGATAAAATAAAAACTTCAACCTAACGATAAAGGCATGTCAAGTTTAATTTGTGATACATATAAAAATACCAATCTTCAAACTAAAAAATGAATTATCTTTGTTGTTTGTGAGTATGTAATTTATGAGATTTTGGGGATTCATACTGTTATTTAACATTAGTACTAAAATAATCAGTCCTGTATATAAAAGACAACATTATGCACAAACCTGTTTGAGAATTTCTACAACATGGATACAATTTGTAATACACATTGCTAAATAAAACTTTTTTTATATTAATAGATTTTAATTTTTAAAATCATGATTCTATTAACTGATATCAAGAAATATGTTTACATAAGCTAGTGTTATTAAATTCTGAGAACTTTTTTTATTCAAACTGCTATCTATAAAAGTTCTCATTATAAATTACTGTTTAAGAAAAACTTGTTTAAACTCGTTTGTGACAGATTTCCTAAAAATATATTCCTTTTTAAATGCAGACACTGAAAGGCTGACAAGTTTTTGACATTAAAAGTTAAAATGAAAACAATATTTGCTTTCCAGAAGTTAACACTCCAGTGACTGAGATTTCCTTCCTAGACGAACATGAAAATTACTCCAGTTGTCAGAGTGTTAAAAATGTTGGGGGGAACAGATTTTTCACAATTCAGGTATAAGCTAGTCCAGGCCCAGCCTACCTTTATTGTCTCTTTCCCCCTGGTGATGGCCTTGAAAAACTCTTTCTTTGCCTTTCCTTTAGTGTTGGCTCGTCGGAAACTTTTCCCAGCCCACCGCCAGAGTTGCTGAGCTGGGAGAAAGGCTGTGAAGTATTAGGTAATGGAAAGTAAGTTGCATGCAACATGTTGAAGATCCATGCGTATCAGACACACAGAGGGGATTATGGGAATGCAAGATGGAGAAATTTAAAAAAAACAAAAACAATTCATGCATACAAATTAGTTCACTATACACAAGGGAAACAACGATGCCGATACAAAATGGAGAAAAAAAAAGATGTTATTAAAACACAAATAAAACCGTAAAGAAAGAAGAGAACAAAGACACCATTTTAGTAATCCAAAATTGAAAATAAAAGTTTCGTTTAGTGACGAAGAACTGACAAAATTACATAGCAACAATCATATCATCTCAGTCATGCAACTTAAATATAGATTTCAGAAACAAATAACATTGCATAGTGTTTAAAAAAAACAACAACAAAATAAATGACATAAATAGCCTTTTTTTAGTATATACAAAGTCTTGCCTTTCTACAGTAAAACAACTACCATCAATAGAATATGATACAATACATATCTAATGGATATAAATATTAAAAGAATTATCAATAATGTAAATTAGTCAATACTCTTGGAAGTATTTTTCTTACCTGCTATTTTACTTTTTTCAACTGAGGGGAGACGATCTTTTCGCTTTTTCTTTTCATTGGATTTCTTAGTCTGTGACATAAAAATTTAATTTATATAAATTACCTAAGATTGATAAATATTTAAATAAAGGTTTGAGAAATAAACAGAAATATTTCCTGTGTTACTTCAAAAATAATTCATGTAAAAAAAAGATAAAAATCAACACTGATCGTAATGTTACAATATTCGAAACGTAATACAAGCAGTATGTAAAATTACTTTCAGTGTGATACAGATAAGTAATATCAAAATTAAAATTTACCTTCACTTTCTTATTCTGAGATTTCTCTTCAATGGCACAAAGTGTTTTTGTTGTCTCTTCCTCATCAGTAATGTTTAAACTCTCTGAGCTATCACTGCTACTAACTGAGGAAGATTCTGGATCAGCATTTTTGTTTGTTTCCTTCTCATTCTTTTCTTTCTTGTCTTCTTGAGAAATGTCTGTGGAATTCGTTCTTATCTTCACCATCAGCTGTGACTTCTTATTTTCTGTACTAGAGCTGGGTGTTTCTGCTTGTGGTGATTTTTGAGTTCTTTCTTCTCCACTTTTAGTGCTCTGTTCAACAGTTGTTGGTATAACATTTGGTGTATTGGCATCGCTGCTCGATGAGGATGGAGAATGGGAATGTTCAGGGCTGCTTGGGTGGCTTCGTTTTTCGTGCTTGTGTTTTTTATGATGGTGATGATGATGACAATGGTGATGATGGTGGCGATGCCGACGTTTATGATCATCTTTATGTTTTTTGTGCTTTCTTGATTTTAGTGACGGAGGACCACACACACTTGCTTCGGATGAACTGCCAATGTGATGTGATTCCTTTTCTCTTGATTTATCTTTTACTTTGCTCTTGGATTCACTTTTGCTTTTCTTTGATTTCTTTTTCTGGGAGTTTTTCTCCTTTTCCTTCCCTGAAGAAGATTTCATGCTTCTTGTTGCTGTAATGGAAAGTGTATCTACAGTGTAGAGTGTACTTTGTGATTCAACTGTACTGATGACAGATGACAACGACGAGATATTTTCTGAATGAAATACATCATTTAATTGTGAATGGTCTTGGGTATTCTGGCCTCGTGAGCTGCAACTTTCTACAAATAACAACAGTTATGTTCCAATTTAAGCAAACATAGATAACAAATTATATAATTACAGATACATTTATATTACTGTTGAGAAATTCATTTCAAAAGAATTGATGAATTATTCTAAAGCCAAAAAAATGAATCAGTTAATATCATAACCGATATGTTCATATAAAAGGCAGAAAAATTAAGCTATTGCTAGTATGTTCTAAGGTTATTTACAGAAGTATACTATAATCTATCACAAATATCAACACTGTATTACATTAAAATCTAACATGTTTTGATGCAATTTTAAGCAAAGTGTGGTAGAAGATTTTAAAAGAAATTTCAATTTTTTTTTTCCAGTAAAGACTTACTTTTTTTTCCTGACTTTGATTTATTTTTATTCTTTTTTGTTTTAACTTTTTCTCCACTGGGAGCCAATGCATTAACCGAACTGTCTGTGACACTTTCCCCTGAAAGTCTGTGCTGTCTACGTTTTCCAAGCAGCATTAGAGGATTGGAATCAACTGCTGTAACAAAATACAGGGAAGGAATTTGAGAAATCTTTCATTTACTTTTCACTCATCACAGATTCTTTGGTTTATATTAAATCAGGTGAAATAAAAACTTAGAAAAATGTTCACAAACAGTTTTGTATAAGTAAACTTAAGAAGTAAATAATGGAACTCCATGAATTTTTTCTCCAATCCAATAGAATTTAAGTTTTCAAAAGTAGATGAGCAAAAATGTCAAACTGCTTTTCAACTTTACTTTTACTTGCTTTATCAATTTTTATTTCATTCACTGCATGCAAAAATGTATACAACTACACCAGAAAATTAATGGGAGGCAAATATTTAAAATAATCAGGAAATTCAGTGCTGCCTCTCTTTTCTTAAAGAAATACTAAAAACACCAGCAAAGTATAAAACTAGATCCAACTTACCAGCAATTATAAGAACTGTTATTATTGGGAGAACCATATATCTAACAATTATAAAAACTGTTATTGTTAGAAGAACCATATATCTAACAATTATAAGAACTGTTATTGTTGGAAGACTTTCTCATTAGAAAATTGATTGAGAATTGTGTATTTGTACATTTATATGGGCCTCTCATTTTATTTATCTCTCAAAGATTAAAGAAGTTTGAAATTAAGGCCAAGTATATACAACCCTCAACACATTCCTACATTTACACTAGAATAACACTTGTAATGCATCATTACATGTAATATTTGAGATAGGCCTAATATTGATGTAAATGGAAAGCAATCATTCTTGCAACATTTTGAGAAAGCAAGTGAATAAAATACTGAAAACAAATAGTATAAAACAAAAGTTTTCTGAAAAACATTGTGAAGTGACAACACTGAAAATTACACAAGTTCCAAACACTTGATAGTTTATTAGTTATGTGCTTGTTTCACAAGCCTCATAGGAAGAATTCACAATTATTTCAGAGCATTTCGCACGTGCTATCTACCCATATTTTTCTACATATTTTATCTTTCGTTGATTTAATGATTGCTTTAATGTTGAATTAATTAAGTGATACAGTATGTTGAAAGGAGATGTTACTGTTTTTTTAATCACCATGCTGAAGTTATAAGTTGGGGGGGTCAAATTTTTTATTCACATCAAGGGAGCCTCAGACTAAAAAGTTTGGGAACCACTATTGTATAGGACCCAGTTGTACAATCTTCCATGGGAGGTGGTGGTCTGGACACAGGAAAGTTCCCGTTATTATACTAATATAGTTGAAATAAGCTTCTTGGAACAGTAATCAATAGTCACAGATTGGCCAGTAAGAAAAATGCTTCATGTGAACCCTGAACAACATTTTTGGATCTCTTTGGATGCCATACACCTCTATTGCTTAACAAACCACACACTTTGCACTGCAGTGATTAAGGAATGTGGCAGGATCTCTATAACACTGTCTGATTAGAAGTTTGCTCCACAATGCTGGGAGGCACACATGTTAGTGAGTATCTCATTTTGCCAATTATGACTCTTTCTGACAAGATAATTCAGACACACACTAACTCCGAACAACTTGAAACTGAAGTTATTTTACAAAAGCAAAAGTATGTTTTGGTTATTGTAGTTAAGCACAATGCTACATAATGGGTTATCTGTGCTGTGCCCACCACAACTATCCAAGCCCGGTCTCTAGTGTTATAAGTCCACAGACATATCACTGTGCCACTGGGGGGCAGCAAAAGTAGGAGAAAAGTGACCTACTTTCAATTTTAAATACATATAATTCAAAGAGATCTTGGTCATATATATATATATATATATACACCAAAAATAACTTTATTTTTTACACCAAAAAAGTTTAAGTACGAGGTATTGTAAAGAAATAAAATATATTTTAAGTAACCCACTTGTAAACTTACACACGATTGGATAATCTGGTGGAAGCATACATATGTCTTTCAAAGGTATTCGGCCAGAATCTCCATCATCAAATTCTACGTACACCGTGTCTTGATCCGAATCACAGTTTGGACTGGATGCTGCAAGTTTATACCATTAAATCTGTCATAATTTTTTCCCACTGTTCTTTAAATATCAACACTAGACTGCCTGGTCAGAAGTCAAGTACTTAATTAAAAGTTTGAATAATAATATATAACAAATATGAATGACCTATTTCATCCACAGCCAACCCTAAATCTTTATAGCATCAGTCTTATACTAGAGAAAACACTCAATATTTAAATATCTTTTTTTAGCAACAATCCCACCACTGGGGTAACTAGCTTTAGTGACCCAAAATGGCAGTTTCAAATGGCCAACATATTCCATTTATTCAATACAAATTTATTAGGAACATAAAATGTGTTTGTTATTGTATTTCTCACACATATTACTTTGTTAAAACTCACATATTACATACGTTCATGATGTTCTGGTAGACACACCTTAACTCCATAAACCAGTTATAATACAGTCAATTTTTTAAGTATTTTTTTCTTTAATTCCAAGCTACTTGATTAATTTTCTTTGAATTTTTTATCAGGTTTAACTGAACTGAAGCAAGATAATTTTTATACTTTCTTACTTTATTTCAATTAACCTTGTGATGATTAGGCTTAAACCTTTCTGGAATGGTAGGAGGGGGGGAGATTCTCCTGAGTTTTTCCTTCTCACAGTGGAAATGCATAACCAGGAGGCATGACACGTAGGACAAACTTACCAGATAGTAACTAGTTTTGGCTTTAAAATGTTCATATAACTTGATTTAACATTTCTATCATTTTTCAGATTATGAAATTTCCAAAATTTTGAAGAAAAAAAAAAACTTCCTTTCATGTCAGGATTTAAATTTTTTATTGCTGATCAGAAAGTTCCATTTTATATATCCAGTTAGTTTTAATTTCACTGATATTTATTGATATATTTCTTTTGACACTCATCACTTCTGGCTATAAAACCAAAAAACTGACAAACATTTATCAGAGAACTACAACCTGACCTTTCAAAATGGTGTCACGATCAACTTGATCATGCTAGATCTAAATGATTTTTGTTAACGACATTCTTGGCCAAAATCAATTCATATCTAAAACGTATATAATATATTTAATAAAATGGATTTGAGTCTTTGGACTATTTTGTCATCACCTACCATGTTCACTAAACTTAACTAAGGTTACCCGTTGTTTTGTTATTGAAGAACATTTCTGTAGCTTTCAAACAGATTTAATTTACAATAAAAAACATTTTCAGGAAAGAAAAAAAATGTCAGAAGAAACTTGACAGAATATTTCCAGAACTGTGATGTATTTCTAACTCTTCTGAACTTCTCACTAGATTCCTATGTACACACTCTGAAGGAGCTTTGCCTATAGCTATTTTCAAAATTGAGCTTCATTAACAATTGTTCACATCACATATTGGGAAGTCATAAAAGGCTGGTAATGAAGGGGCGTAGTAATAAAAAGAGTAACAGAGAAAAACAAAATTACTGGAGAAACAAGACATGAATGATTAAATTCTCAAGAAATGATACTTTCTTATCAAATATAAACCTATACTTTCAGGTGGGCAAAAGAAAAAAAATATATATATACACATAAATGTATTGTTTAAGAATGAGACTCCTCCGAGTGGTGCAGAAATGAAAGTTGGAACATTTTTCTTTTTAAATTACACCAGATAAATGTACAAAATTACAGAACATCGATTCTAGAATATTATTAGTTAACACTGTACAAAAAAAAGTTAAAATGGTAGAAGTCATCTTCAGCTAATAAAACTTTATTTTTCTAACAGGTTGGTTGGCCTTTGGAATGGGTTGCCTTCAGATGTTATAGATGCAGTTAATCTAAGGGAAACTTGATAAATAGTTAAGTGATGAGGGCTGGCTTTTTAATGTTTAGATTAATTATGTGGACAGGACCGCCTAGATGGACCAAAAGGTCCCTTATATTATCAGAGTTTGCAGATTAAGCTGTTCATAAAAATGAAAATTATCTATTATTTGTGTTATAAATAAAGAATTCTGTTTGTAAGTCAGTAACATCCATCTAATCATATCTTTTATTCCTGATTTATTAAGTGGTAAGTCCTCTGGTTTTGAAAAAAAAGATAATTAACTAAGGTTAATACACAATTAATACATTTTTTAATGTAGTCATACTAACATAATAATATTAACATGAAACATCTTACATTTAGCTACAGTTCCAGGATACATGCATCGATATTGCTGACTCCAGAATGCACAGACCCTCTGACCCTCTGGTAGGTTATTTAGGGAATTTGGCTTCACCTCAACAATCTGCAAGAAATTTCACAATCAAAAGTCGAAGTTACACAATATATATATACAGATTTTACACACATGAAATATAAAGCTTACACTACTATCTCTTACACCTGCACATGGCAAATTTACTTGAATTTATACTTACAGCTTCATTTAAAATTTCCTCCCGGGAATAAATGTGAGGTCTGTTACCTCGTTCTCCATCTCTGGTTATACCATATCTGTTGAAATAAAAATTATAAGTTTGACTGTGATAGCTTTGTATTTCAAAAAATGATATCTTACCGGTCGTAAGTTGTAAGAATGTATATAGTTTTTTAAAACAAGTACACCTAAAAACTAAGATTAACATTAGTCAAACATAACTTCTTGTATATACAGATCTAGAAATTGTAGTAGTGTTTATCACATACAGTTAATCCTCTTAGATAGAACACAAGTGGCTTTCATTACACTAATCTTATTTTCTTGAATAAACTCAACACTTACACATCAGGAGCACGAATAGCTTTAATGGTTCCTGCATAAAATAGTCCGTTATCCATTGTTAAAACTCGAAGCTGATCATCTAGCTCTTCTGGTTGCAGGATGCAGGATCTTATTACTATAAACAACAAGAAAAATTATTATTATATACAAGTGACTATGTACCTCGGGCAACAATGCAAGAAATATTGGATATAACACTAAGTATGTGAAATCAAATCAAAGAATGAATTACTTGCACTCAAAGCCAGTCCTTATAATTGAAATATTTATCAAGGCTTCCCTTAAATTAACTGCATCCATCACATTTGAAGGCAACTCATTCCAAAGGCCAACCAGCCTGTTAGAAAAGTAAAGCTGAAGGTGACTCCTATCCTGCCAAAATATATATTTGTGTCCCCTAGTCCTACTATTCTCACCATTAAGTATTAAAGAAGATGATGCATCAACACTATCAATTCCCTTTACAATCTTAAACATGTCAAACAGATCCCCTCTACCTCTGAAATGGTTTTCCCTTAATCTAACCTCATATGACAACCCCTTCATTCCAAGTATCATCCTAGTAACCCTCCTCTGAACTCTTTCCAACAATTCAAAGTCCTTCCTAAGATAGGTAGCCTAAACCTGAACACAATACTTCAAATGTGGCCTAACCAATGACCTATACAATGAAATTATAATCTTTTTTTAGACTTGTTTTCAATATTTCTTTAGATACAATCTAGAATCCCATTTTCCTCTACAACTAGCAAGGCACTTTGCTTGAATGGTTTACAAAACTGATCAACAAGACAAATAAAATCCTTTTCTTCCATAACACTGTTAAGGTTATTCTCATCAAAATTATATTAATAATTCAAATTACCTTGCTTTATTATAATTAAAAGACATCTGCCATTTATTTGCCCAAATCAGCAACTGATCCAAATTTTCTTCTAAACCTACAGCATTATCTTTACTGCTTGTGAACCCAAGACGGTAATATCATCAGTAAATTTCAGTCATTTATTGACCATTCCATTCCTTCAACCATGTCATTGATATAAATCAAAAAGAGCAGATATCCTAACAAAGAGTCCTGAGGTACCTCATTTGTAGTATTAATTTAGTTTGACTGAACCACATTTATAACAACCCTCTGCTTTCTTCCATCCAGCCATTTTTCTATCCAATGAGCAAACTTATGCTCCACACCTATAGAAATAATTTTTTTTAATAATACTTTTACGTCAAATGCTTTCAGCAAATCCATGTACACCAAATCCTCATCCATTCCCTCATTTATATAAGCAGTAACCACATAAAAGAATGTCAAATGGCTAATAAGTCAAGATTTTTCCCAAAGTGAAATTGACTATCCAACAAAATTTTAAACTTTGTTAAATGACTTTGTCAAACATTTTTTTTAATCAGACTTTCAAAAACTTTTCCCAACACTGATGTAAAAACAAATGACCTATAGTTACCAGGACAATTTTTTTCACCTCCCTTGAAAAAAAAAAAGAGGAGTAATACTAGCCAACTTCCATTCTTCTGTTCCATCATTTAAACAGCAATATTACTACAGTTTTATTTTTCTCAACCAACCTGGATTAGATGTTTTCTCAATCAAAACACTCAAAGGAAGATTATCGCCTTCACTACTTTCAGCATTTTCCTGATCCGTTGAATGACGAGGAGTTACCCCTCCTTGGTTACTTTCACTAAGCCGACACTTCTTTAAAGCAGCAAACAGTTCATCCGGAACCAACTTTTCCTTTGTTTGCTGAAGTTTATGACAAATTTAATTTTATAGTCACATAATATAGATCTATATAATCATTCATCACATTATCATTATCTCTCCCTACCAAAATTATCCAAGAAAATATTTTACGTAATTATGACTTCTTAGCCCTAATGCAACAATGTAAAAATAAATAATAAATGGAAACATTGTGGCATTCCTAGAATTATTACTCATGTTTAATACCAATTTACTTTGTTAGTGAGCTTGAAATTTGTGCAGTAATTCCATGTAAAACAGAACGTACAAATAAAAAACATGTTGCTTGATTACAATAAAAGAAAACTGCACCAATGTTCTTGTTTTTTATAAAAATCTGTAAAATAATCTATTTGTTAAAAATTCATTCTGATTTGCTTTTCTAAGAAGATTATTAGGAAATATTCACCTGTCTCTTTGACTCCTTTGTTTTAGTTTTAAGTTTTTTGCTTGTTGACTCTGGATCTTTTCTAATCTTTGTTTTCTTCTTATGAGAAACCTCTCCAGATTTGTTAATGTTTCTATGAATCTTAAAAAACAATTTTTTTTTGTATTCACTGAAACATTGAAATATTACATCACATATCATACAAAGTATACTTTTTCACCAAACTAAACATGTTTGAATCATAAGTGTTATTAGTAAAGGTAGCTCAATTCTTCAACCGTTTCATTGTGGGAAAATACAATACAGTGTCAGAAAATATTTCATTAGACTAGATATAAATGAAAAATTAAATCAATGGAAAACTTTTTTAAACTTGTATTTTGTTGGCAAAGATATTTTAATTTATAGGTAAGACATTCCAGTCTTCTTTTCTGAATGTGATATCTAACATTTTCCTGAATTTTAAGATAAAGGAAAAAAAATCTTACTTTTGATGTTGTTTCAGACTTGCTTTCTGTTTGTGCCTCAGATTTTTTGGTTTCAGTTGTTGATAAGTTCTTGTCATTTGCAACTGAAGTATTTAAACTTTCTCCTTGCCAGAGAGAAATGGCTCCAGGAACAACTCCAGCATCATGAAGAAAAATTCTCTCACTGCGGCGACGAAACCAGATATCTTCCTCAAAGAATGATGTTACCGATTCTAATTCAACACAGTTCTAAAACAAAATATAATCTGATAAATATGCACAAGTGATATACTGCTCCAAGGAAGCATAAAATATTTATTTAGATTAGAAAGGAAGGTTCATGGGTGTGGAGGACTGAGTCACATGGCATAAACTAGCATTTTACTTATACAAAAAAAACTCTACAGCCTGCTGATTCGGTAAAACCATGGGCTTGAAATGCTAAAAATCGGGTTTCAATACATACAGTGGCACAGCACAGATATATCATTATTTAGCTTTATGCTTTACAACAAACAAACTTATACAAATCAAGCTAGAAAACAATTTTTTCATTATATATTTTACTTAATGAAACCTGAAAGACAGAAGCATGCCACACCTTAATATAAAGAAAAGAGCTGAACTGAGAATACACTAGATGGAATAGCTAAAATATTAGTCTGCCAAAATTCTCTTAAGTGGTAGTTGTTCCTTAGTTTACCATTAACAGAGGATAATTAACTCAGGAACCACATTTTGGGTAGATCAGTCATTATTTAGTGAATACCACAACAGCAAAGTGTCTGACAGTATAAAATTACAAATTAATGACTGTCAAATATTTGCTGATTCAACAATATCAAATTCTAGAAACTTTAAAAAACACATTTGTAAAAGTTATTACGTTATCAGAGGTGAATAAACCTTTAAGGAAACTATTCAAATAAATTACAGAGGACTTATACAGTTAGCTAACTAAAACTAAAACTAAAATAATTCACAAAAATAGCCTATAAAGTATTAACGACTATCTTGTAGGATACATGGGTTAAAATAGTTAATGCTGTAAATCAATACACCAGAACTGTACACTGAGTCATCAGCTGGGTACCCTCAGGGTTAATTCATGGATCTCTTTACTACTGTATCTGGATATGTAAACAAAAACTCGGTATATCTATTCAACTAAGCTTAATACAAATATGGTAACTCATGTTTTCATATACTGATATTAAAGGCAAGTTGCTAGTGAAATTTATACCAAATATCAGCATGCACTCAATCATTTCACTTTCCAGATGTATGCAGGTTAATGAAGGTTATATAATCACTTATCACTTTATAGATTGTTTATGGCTTAATAGTGGTTATATAATTACCCTACAGACTGTTTGTAGGTTAATAAAGGTTATATAATCACTTTATACATTGTTCACAGGTTAATAAAGGTTATATGATCACTGCACAGACTGTTTACAGTTTAAGGAAGGCTATATGATCACTTTACAAAAGTTTTCATGGGTTAATAAAAGTTATATAATCAACATATTGCTACTTTTTTGTAAGAATGATTAACTTGAAAATTAGATATTTTACTGCTTACAGATGAAATCATAAGTGTTAGTCTCAAATATTATATATGGTTAACAGGATGTCAGTATCACACAAATCATGTTATTTTACATCAACAACACTACTGACAGTAGAAAATATAAGTTACCTTTGTTCTACTTAGTGAATTTTTAACTCTCTTTGCTTCAGCCTTCAGAAAAGCTAGCTTCTTTGGTTGTTTGGGAACAATGGTTTCTGTGGAAACAAATAAATGTAACAGCTTATTTTACATAAAGAGTAAAGCTGCAGTATTTAATTTGCAGCTTTAAGAATTCATCACAAAAACTGTACTCTAAATATAAATTATGTAAAGAAAAATAATAATGGTAATGTGTTTATAAAAAACAGACACACTCCTTGTGATAAAGAAACATGAATTGAAAAAACTAGAGGTTATATGTCAACAGCATGAAGTTGTTTTATTTCACATTCCTTTTTATGATAAACTTAATTCCAATATCACCGAATACCAGAGAATATTGAAAACTTCAACAGAGTTGGTCTATCCTTCGTTACATGATAACAATTTCCCACAAAATGATGTAAAATCATACTTGAAAATGGAATCACATTATGCTAATATAATAATAAGCTGGCAAACAATGATTTATAAGCACAGTGAAGAGATATATTTTAAGAGGAACATACTACATGTTTTGATATCATACCTGAAAAAGTCAGATCAATATTCTGTTGAAACGTGCAGGATGTTCCTCCCAAAATAAATCACTGCATTATGCCTATAAATCATTGTTTGCCAACTTATTATGATGTAGTCATAAACATTTGCTAGTAATGAACTATCTTTGGCAAAAGACACTTGTAGAGAAAAGAAGATATGGGTTTTCACACATTAATGTACCACATACTTATTGATAATCTATCTAATCCCATATTTTAAAAATGTACCTGTCGCCTCATCTGATTTAGATAAAGAATGTTTCTTGGGCCTGCCAGGCTTTCGTTTTTTGGCTGAAGAGACCTCTGTATCAGAAGTGTTACATTCACTCTCACCTGCAGTGAAAATAAGTTAAATTATTTTGCTAGTCTTAAATACAAATATTTTTCATTTGAAGTTTCTTAATTATTTTTAAAAATACACATTGTATGATAAAACTGGATTATTCAATGAGCTGATCTTTTAAAATATGTAACTAACAGATAGACATCAAAAACTTAAACGATAATTTACAACTAATTTCATTTGATGTATTTTATAGAAAATTGAAAAGGAGATTTTTTAAGACTGAATGATAAAAAACGTATCACAGAATAAGTCTTAGGAATTCTTTATTTCACCCAGTACCAATCTATACTGCATTTGTAATATTATTACAATAAAAAAACTAAAAAACAGTTAATTGTTTAATATATTTTACATTTTAAGACAAGTCAACTCATTGGTACTTTAGAAAACATTCAAAGTGTATTGTATCAATTTTACTCAAGGTAAATTACTTTTACTTCAACAGTGTTTACATAAAATTATAGTATGAATTCCAAACTTTTTTTTGCACACAAAAAAGTGATTCATATTATATGATTTACAAAATTAAAAAAGCATTTGACCACTTGATCAAAAGATAATTTGTGATTTTATGTAACTGCGGACAAATCTAATTTATAAGACACCTGGTGACTTAATTTTGAATAATTTTTAAATTTCAAAAATATGTCAGCACCTTATCACTTACATACTGTGTGTTATGGTATTTTGGCACTTGTGTATAAAGTTAAAATCATAAATAATTTTCAACGTTAAACTGGTACACAATTAAAAACAAATTTGAAAGCCATAAATAGGTCTAAGTAAAATGTTTTTAATTGTGTACCAGTTTAACGTTGAAAATTATTTATGATTTTATACTGTGTGTTAGAACAAATTATATATGTGGATATTGGAGGATTCTGTTTCTCACAACAAAATCACTCCTGTCTAATATTACTATCAAAAGCCAAATTAGAATAGAAAAAAATAAAATAAAGTTTCTGTTCAAAACACCATCCTAGCATCAGGACAGTCAGTAATGATAGAAATCATTAATACTAACATACAGACTGGTAACTTGACGAGAATACCACCAAGAACACTTTCAAAGAGAGAAAAATTATGCATTCTAATCTAGCTAATTTAATTTCCACATTAAAGTTTCCACAAATGAAATACTAACCTAGCTCCAACTTCCTTTTGGTGTCTTTTTCAGGTGTGGTAGGGGAAATGTTTACTTGTGCCACAAATTGTTCTGAAATGTGTAAATTCAAACTTCATGTGACATATTCTACCATTTCTATGAAAGCAGAGTAAAAAATACTACTACTGTTTGAGTCATATATACAATACTGCATAATTAGTCTTTCAAATTTTTGTTTTCGACACATAAAGCCAATATGTTTTCATAGTTGTTGCAAGATGTCAAGAAACAAATCTAGAGGTTTAAAACTGAAACCATAAAATAGGTTTGTTGTTTTCATTTTGGACAAATATTATGTTTTAAATAAACATATACAGGGATTTTTTATTATTACCTAAACACAATTTTCTGTTTGATTACATAAAACTTAGCAAAACGAAAATGAAAATTTCTTTCTTATGAACCTGTTTATGAAACTAAAAGAGAACAGCATTTAGTTTAATATGCAGAAGCTTCATGTACTCTAAAGTCTCCTTACATAAACAATCTCTTTAAAAAGAGGCACAAACATGTTATGATTTTGATTTAAAGTATATGATAAAAATAACTAACAATGTCTTATGATCCCGTGTACAAAAAATCAAGTACATGCTGTACGTGACCTTTACAGGTGTAATCATGGTAGTAACAAATACAATTGCCTTTATTTCCTTCAATTCTGTGTTAAGTAAACCTCACTGATGGATTGGCATGAAAGAAATTGCAAAAACTCTAAAAAATTTAACTAAACTGAAACTGTTATTGTTGTTGATAACATAAAGTTTCACTCAGCACAAAGGAAACTAATAAAACTATAAAAACTTTTAACCTTTTCTACATTATAACCATGTTATGTATGGAAAAACTTTAAAGCCACTTATGAATCGGATATTCTGACCAAAGTTTATCAGAGCGCACAGCTGCAAAATAGGCTTGCATTGCCACTGCAGGGACTGAACCCAAAATTTCAGCTTTATAATCCCTCAACTAATTAGAATAAAATGTTTATATATATACGCACTACTTCAAGTCCACTCTTGAAAGTGATCTTGAGAAAACTACCTTCTAAAATACAGGCAGACACCAGTTATCTAATGCATAATATTCCAATAATTAGTAAATGTCCTACCATGTGGATCTTCTGTAACATTTGAATCACTTGATAAAGATTCCTGTTTTGACATAAGAAATGGATTCTTATTTTCGATCGATCTTTTATTTTGATTCTTTTTTACTTTTGATGATTGTAGCTTAAAAGATCCTTGCTTGTTACTGGGTGACTCTGTTCTCTGTTTCGAAAAGTCTTCTTTTCCTGATGGAGAAAGAAAATATTATTTATTGAGATTTTGAGATCATACCTACTTAAAAAGAAAAAGACACAGTATCATTTACTGTGTCACGTTTACTTGAAAAATGAAACAATTTTATTAACTGAGTCTTAGTTAAACAAAGCACTACTGTTTACTAAAGCCTCATCTATCCTCTCGTGGATACAAATGGATGAACTTTAAAGAATGAATATTCCAGATCTGAATACTGAATATCAAATCACAAATGTTATTTTCTATATTTCCTTGAAAGCATAAATTAAAAACAGTAAAACTTCTATTTCCAGTATAATTCACAATACTCCATTCTTAAGTGGGAAAAGAAGTGATATTTATCATAACAAGCTTTCTTTTCCTAAAAAAATAATTACTGCAAAAACAAAATAAAAAACTTGAATTACATTTTCAGCTCAAAATCTAACTAAGATATCATTGTGATTGCAAATACAAATTAAAACAACGTTTACTGGAAAAAAAAGTGTAAGGTAGTAAAAGAAGACTGTCTATACTGCAGTGCAAGAGTAATTAAGTGTACCTAACTATTAACTGCATCAAACCTATTCTTAGACTTGATAGATCAACCTGATGTCTAATTTTCAGTGATAAAATTTTGACAAACAAAGGCTGCACTCTAATGAAATACTTATCATTACTTTTTTTAAGAAAAATTTGTATTTTAAACTCGTCACAAAGCTACTAATGCTACCTGCCACCATTCCAAATTCCAAAGGGAGCTTTTTGAAATGGATGGTTTACATTTAAATAGAGCAGTGGCTGGCTTGTTTGCTAAGGCTTTTAACTCAGCTGTAAGTGAAGTTTTAAACTAGGACTAGACAGTAGTGATGGCCAAGAAAAACTAAATGCAAAAAGAATAAGAGGCAGAGAAAAGATTAGCGTAGGAAATGAGTATAGAAGTAGTTATACGGATAGGCTTAATTGTTACTATTGTAATGCTAGAAGTATAAGAAATAAAATAGATGACTTTAGAGCACTGGCAGGAATGGAGGATTTTGATATAATGGGAATAACTGAAACATGGTTAAACGTTGATGATTTTGATGACAGAAATTTCGTTGAAATACAAGGTTACAGGCTATTTAATAGGGATAGTGTATTAAAGAGTGGGGAGGAGTGGCTTTATATGTAAAATGTGAGTTACATCCTGTTGAAGTTGAGGATATCAAAAACAGCAAAGAGACTGAATCCATTTGGGTTTCTATTAATGGATATAAAGGGAAAAGGCTTTTAGTGGGAATTTGTTACAGACCACCAAATGATACTGATGAAATTAGTGAGAAACTTTACAATGAGATTAAGATTTCAGCTGTTAATGAAGTAGTAATTATGGGTGATTTTAATTTCAGGCATATAGATTGGGAAATCCTACAGTCAAACCATGAGGGAAAAAGGAAACTGTTCAAGATGGTTTTCTTCACCAGTTAGTCAAGGAACCAACTAGAAACAATGTTATTTTAGACTTATTGTTAACTTCAAATACAGAAATGATCGAGAGGGTTGAAATTGGGGAACATCTGGGTGCAAGTGATTATTGCTCTATTAGGTTCGATGTTTTGCTGCATATGGAAATCAGGAATAATGACATTTTGGTTACAAATTTGAAAAAAGCAAATTTTGAAGAGATGCAACAAGAATTATCTGTTTTTGGTTAAGCAGCTTAGTTGTTTGGAGACACTGATTAGATGTGGAAAAGTTTTGGTGATAAATTTTTAAGTATTCAAGGTAAACATATTCCTTATAGAAAGAAAAGGGCAGCTGCAAGTAAAAAACCAGGTTGGCTCACAAAGAGTATGAGAGATAAAATTAAAGAAAAACATCATAAATTTCAGAAATTTAATTTGACTGGTATGATGGGAGACTTAGAAGATTATAGAAGATCAAGAAAGTTGGTGAAACAGGAAATTAGGACATCAAAAATGATATATGAGAAAATGTTGGCTGAAAATGTAAAAATTAACAGTAAGGATTTATTCAAATAGATTAAGAGTAAACAAAATGTTAGGATGGGAGTAGGACCTCTGAGGGATGATAAAAGAAGGCTAGTATCTGATGATTATGAGATGGCTTGGTTATCAAATTTAGCTTTTTCTTCAGTTTTTACTAATGAAGATTTAGGCAGTATTCCACATCTTGAACAGCTGATAGATGAAAACAAAGGATTGAGTAAGGTGACTGCATTAATTCTGTGCTTGTTAACAAAAAATTGGGAAATTTAAAAAACAATAAGACTCCTTGGCCAGATAATATTTCCCCAAGGACTTTGAAGGAGGTTAAGGACTGGATATGTCAGCCACTTGCTACTGTTTTTGTAAGTCTTTGAATAGTGGGCAATTTCTTAACTTATCCTCCACATATATATAGAGCTAATTTGTTGTTACAAGCCTTTTATGTGGCACCTTATCAAATGCTTTCTGAAAATCCAGATACACCAAATCTACACCATTATCCTCATCAACATAAGCAGTAACTTTTTCAAAGAATGTTAAAAGATTTGCAAGGCAAGATTTTCCCTTAATGAAACTATGTTGACTCCAATAAAAATCTAAAATTTGTTAAATGGCTTTGCAAAGCATCTTTTAGCAGACTTTCCAAAACTTTTCTCACAACTGATGTAAGACTAATGGGCCAATAATTACTGGAATAATTTTTATCACCTCCCTTGAAAAGAGAAGTGACATTAGCTAACTTCCAATCCTCTTGTACCTGGATAGAAGAGTGGCTGGATGGAAGAAAGCAGAGGATTGTTACAAATGGAGTTCAGTCAAACTGGAGTAATGTCACAACTGGGATACCTCAGGGCTTAGTCTTAGGACCTTTGCTCTTTTGATTTACATCAATGACATAGATGAAGGAATATTCAATAAATTACTTAAATTTGCAGTAATATTAGGGTATTGGGTGTTG